AAGATGGTTGTTAGCCTGATAATCTTGGAATATGGGATTTATATGTTGGTTTCTTATAAAAATTAAATTTCATTAGATTAGTAAAACAACCAAAATTCAGCAGATCAACTAAAATTTAAAGTCAAAACAGGCCTGAAATATTTCTTTGTTATCTGGTATAATATGATAGATACATAGGTATTTGGCAGAATAATAGTAAAAGCATGTGGCTTTTGGCCACATGCATTGCTATCATCCTGTCAAATACCCATAATTCTGATACATCATATCAAATAACTAGTTTATTAGGCAGGTATAATATATACATAACAGAACTATATTATTATCTAAATAAACTCTCTTTAATTTAAATAATAGATATATAATGATAAGGGAGCGATTGTGTTTTGATTCAACTCTTTCTTTAATATTTCAATATCATAATAAACTATGAACCAACAAAGACTTATTAGATCCCTTTAAATTTTCGAGAGTACAAAATACAAATTAATGTATCAAAATATAGTTATAGTCAGTTGACAGATATAGAAATATACTCAATTATGAGTTTGAAAACTTTTCTTGCAAATTTTTTATGCAGTTAAAATGAATAGACAAAAGAAATCTAAAGTTAAAATATCTATACTTTTTATACAAGATAAGTGAAAGAATATCCAGCTATTAAACTGTGCAATATATAAGACTCTTACAAATTCAAAAAGCATTACAAAGACTATTCTAAAATTTTTAATAATAGTTATTAGGCAACACAGAGTTGTTTTTTGTTTTGTATTACTTGCCAGCTCTTTTTTCAATTTCTTAAATTTTTTTAAGCCTAATTGTGCCAATTATTCTATTTTTGCTACTTAATTTTTTTCATAAATTACTTTGGTATATTTGATAGAGATCTTGTTGTCCTGAAATTATCTGACAGAACTGAGAAAAAATTTGACTTCCAACCCAATCTGATTTCAGTTATACAAAGCGAAAAATTAACTTTTGCGCTCTTAGATATGAATATTAATCTATTAATTTACTGTAGATCAAACTAAAAAAAGAAAAAATTCTAACTGACCAGCCAGGAATTTTGAAATCTATAGAATGCAAAATGAAATCAAATTTGTGTAGCTTTATCCTATTTAATTGTAAATTAATGTAGTATTTTGTTGATTTGATTTGTTTTTTTAGATTTAAACATAATTATAGGAGAATATTTATACTTAATAATGGGCTATAGCAATATTACGAGAATTTTGGGTATGTATTATTTTAATTACTAGTTTCTTACTCACAATATATTTAATTACACTAATAATTGTAGATTCGAATAATTTAATATCTATCACAACTCTAATGAAATTTAATTTTTATAAGAAACCAACATATAAATCCCATATTCCAAGATTATCAGGCTAACAACCATCTTTAAAATCTATTATTAATCAAGCAGCACTATATACACCTTTTATAGTTGAATAAATTATCCAAATCCAATAACAAGAAGAAAATACACTATATTTTTTGCTATCTTTTTAATTGAATTTGAAATATGAAATTTTGTTTTTTATATAATTTCTGGGTATAACAATTTTAATAAAATGAATTTTAAGAATTTTAAAAAAATAAAATTTTTATGTATCACATGATTTTAATAATAAACTGTGGCAATAATATGAAAATTTTCTATCAGTATATATATAGTACCTGCTGGATAACATCAAGTATTTGTTTGGTTCATGCTAATTGCCCAATAACTATTAATTTTTCATACATTATCTAGTTAGGTCACAGAATTACAGTGTCAAATCTTTTTTTGCCAATTTTTTCTATATAATTTAGTCTACCAGATGGAATTAATTCAATGATATATTTATAATTATTAAGTTTTAAATTGAAGCCCTTTGGTGCAATTATTTGGGAGCTGGTCTAAAAAAATTCAGTTTGAAAAATAAAAATTCTCTGAATGATTATTAAAAATATTAATAATTTTGATAATCATTTGGGGAATTTTCAAATTCTTAGACTAATAATCACTGACTATTAAAGATACAAGCAAAGAATTTGTTTGCACCACATACTGTTTATTAAATATTTAAAATGATCTATTCAAGTTAATAAACATTTACTATTTTGCTAATGTCCATATGATCAGGATGATTTTAGAGAATTATTAATAACATTTTAAAAACTATTTTTTTGATTTTTTTTCATCATCTAAAGCTAATTTTTTAAGCAATAAGTATTTTTTTATAAATAGCCAAGCATTAGGTCATTTCTATCTCTATAAACTCAACATTCAGGAATTTCAAGAATGATGTCTTATTAAATTGATGAAACTTGACAAGATAAATAATGCCATTAGACACATTAATTCTAGAAGCAAAATTTGCTATGACATCGAAAACATCTCCCTCTGAAATGTAATAATTAGATAATCATAGATTTGTGATATAAAATTTTTTATTTTTATTAGCATTGGTCTTGCAAAATGTTATCAACGTGAGAATTAGTATAAATATATCCAGCAAATTTGTGAATGCTATCTAACTCTGAAATATCTTTAAGTACTTGTAATTTAGTCTGCATTATAAGTTTTAGATATAGCAAAAGATCTTGAATATAGGAATATAATCTGGATGCCTTGTAGATCATATCACTGTCAATATTTCTAATCTATCTGTATTTTGAGTTATTTCATATATTGTGAGCTTACTATAATTTAATTTACATTTCATAAGATTTTAAATGAATCATCTTAATAAACTATATACAGTATTAGATAAATTAACAAATTAACTTTAAAATTTAAATTTATTTTTCTTAGAACTAGCTAGATAATTCACTTGCTATTATCACCATTGACTTTTTTCACATGCTATTCAACCTGGTTACTGAATATACAGAGTCAAATTTCCTAGATAATTTATTTAATGGAATCCAACTAATTATATTATCATATTCAAAACTTATAAAATTAATATCTTTATTCTTATTTGTTAATTCTTGAACAGTTATATCAGAAGCATATCAAATATCAAGTTACAAATGTGTTGTCCTTATTACAATATATATATTTGCAAACCTTTATCAACCCAAAACCAAATTTTATATAGAGTTTGGGATTGGGTTCAGATATCATAAGTTTAGTTTCAGTTCAGACTTGAAAATTGTAAATTGTTTGGCACAAATTTATATATCTTTTTTATTTAAGTTGATACCAACCCCTCTAGCATAACTACTCTAAAAAATTTCACTGTTATTTTGCTAGCCAAACAGAATTCAATATTTGATATAACATGAAAAAACTCAAAAAATCAAAACAAACCAAAAAATTGTTAATAACTCAACATTTTATCTATGAAACTACTTTCTGTGCATTAACAAAAAGTTTTCTTGTGAAATTTTGGTATTAAAAAAACTTTCTTTTAATCTAACTTAATAGCAAAACCTAACCTTAATTTAATTGCAAAATTTTTTTTAGCAAAATTTTTTAAGTTGGCGATGCTAGGATCTTAGTTGAAACCTATATCTGAGTATAATGGGTAATCTTTATATTCAGGTAGACCCATTGATCAACCTAGATTGATTCACTAGCCAGAGCTAGGCCAGCATTAAGCAATAATACAAGCCAACTATACTACAGCAAAATTATTATCTGGGCAGCTTTACTTAGTATATAGACTACCAAAATTTTAGAAGAAATTTATCAATTTCGGCCTATTATAACTCTAAATTTTGGTCGATCAGTGCTTCCTTAATATTAATGAAATAGTGGTTAGAGTTGTATTACAAAAATTACAATTTTACATTTCATGTAATTTTGCATAAATTTCAGTAACTTGAATGTCATGTAAATTTCACACGCACTGGCACTATAAAAAACTCAGCTAGCATTATTGAATTACAGTAGATTCTGCATAAAGTTCACTGACTAAATCGATGTATATATGATCTAATCATTCATATGAACATATGATCACGTTTTTTACAAATTATATGAAAACCTTGTTACTGAAAATTTACGCAAAATTTCACAAAATTATGTAAATTACGGTAATTTGACAACCCTAATAGTGGTTAAATCACCATCCTAATAAATTTCTCTGACCAATCAGATTTCAAGATCTTGTATAACACAAAATGGTGATGCTAGAATTTTACATTAATGATATCATCAATTATTGTAATTAAATTACTATTACCACTATAATATACTGATATATTCAGACTGATCCAGAAAAAAGCAAGTATTACACATGTATAAAATAAGTGCTTTTTTTAGATCTTGTTCTTGTTCTTGTTCCAGTTCTTATTTCTTTGTTCTTATTCTTTTGTTATCGTTATTATTTTTAATCTTGTTTCTTTTTATCTGGTTCGTAGTTTCTAATTCATAGGTTTCTGGCTACTTGGTCTCTAATTCACTGATCTCTATCTTGTTGGTCTCTAATTTGTTGGTCTTTAATTTGTTGGTCTTTAATTCACTAGTTTCTATCTTGTTGGACTCTAATTCGTTAGACTTTAATTCATTGTACTCTAATTTGTTGATCTCTAATTTGTTGATCTCTAATTCATTGGTCACTAATTCGTTGGTCTCTAATTTGTTGGTCACTAATTTGTTAGTCTCTAACTCATTAGTCTCTAACTTGTTGGTCTCTAACTCATTGGTCTCTAATTCATTAGTCTCTAATTTGTTAGTCTCTATCTTGTTGGTCTCTAATTCATTGGTCTCTAATTCGTTGGTTTCTAGCTTGTTGGTCTCTAATTTGCTGGTCTCCAATTTGTTGGTCTCTATCTTGTTGGACTCTAATTCATTAGTCTCTAATTCGTTGGACTTGCTGGTCTCTATCTTGTTAGACTCTAATTTATTAGACTTTAATTCGTTGTACTCTAATTCATTGGTCTTTAATTTATTGGTCTCTAATTTGTTGATCTCTAATTTGTTGATCTCTAATTTGGTGGTCTCTATTTTGTTGGTCTCTAATTCGTTGGTTTCTAGCTTGTTGATCTCTAATTCATTGATTTCTAATTTGTTGATTTCTAGCTTATTGGTCTCTAATTCATCGGTCTCTAATTCATTGGTCTTTAATTCGTTTGTTTTTAGCTTGTTGGTCTCTAATTCGCTGGTCTCTAATTCATTAGTTTTAATTTGTTGTTCTCTAATTCGCTAGTCTCCATCTTGTTGGTCTCTAATTTGTTGGTCTCTAATTTGCTGGTTTCTATCTTGTTGGACTCTAATTCATTGTACTCTAATTCGTTGGTCTCTAATTTGTTGGTCTTTTAATTTATTGGTCTCTAATTTGTTGGTCTCTAATTTGTTGGTCTCTAATTTGTTGGTCTCTAATTTGTTGGTCTCTAATTTGTTGGTCTCTATTTTGTTGGTCTCTAATTTGTTGGTTTCTAGCTTGTTGGTTTCTAATTCATTCATTGGTTTCTAGTTTGTTGGTCTCTAATTCATTGGTCTTTAATTCATTGGTCTCTAATTCATTTGTTTTTAGCTTGTTGATCTCTAATTCACTGGTCTCTAATTTGTTGGTTTTAATTTGTTGTTCTCTAGTTTGTTGGTCTCTAATTCATTGGTTTCTAATTTGTTGGCCTTTATCTCGTTGGTCTCTAATTTATTGATCTCTAATTTGTTAGTCTCTAATTCATTAGTTTCTAATTCATTGGTTTCAAGCTTGTTAGTCTCTAATTTGCTGGTCTCTAATTTGTTAGTTTCTATTTTGTTGAACTCTAATTCGTTGGACTCTAATTCGTTGGACTCTAATTCGTTAGACTCTAATTCGCTGGTCTTTATCTTGTTGGACTCTAATTCGTTGGACTTTAATTTGTTGGTCTTTAATTCATTGGTCTCTAATTTGTTGGTCTCTAATTTGTTGGTTTCTAATTTGATAGTCTCTATTTTGTTGGTCTCTAATTCGTTAGTTTTTAGCTTGTTGGTCTCTAATTTATTGGTTTCTAATTCGTTAGTTTCTAGCTTGTTGGTCTCTAATTCATTGGTCTCTAATTCGTTGACTTCTAGCTTGTTAGTTTCTAATTTATTAATTTCTAGCTTGTTGGACTCTAATTCATTAGTATCTAATTTGTTGGTTTTAATTTGTTGTTCTCTAGTTTGTTGTTCTCTAATTCGTTAGTCTCTAATTTATTAGTTTTTAATTCATTGGCCTCTATCTTGTTGGCCTCTAATTCGTTGGTTTCTAGCTTGTTGGTCTCTAATTTGTTGGTTTCTAATTTGTTGGTCTCTAATTTGCTGGTCTCTAATTTGCTGGTCTCTATCTTGTTGGTCTCTAATTCATTGGTTTCTATCTAGTCGATCTCTAATTCACTGGTCTCTATCTTGTTGGACTCTAATTCATTGGACTCTAATTCATTAGACTCTAATTCAATAGTCTCTAATTCGTTGGCTTCTAATTTGTTGGTCTCTAATTTGTTGGTCTCTAATTTGTTGGTCTCTAATTCACTGGTCTCTATTTTGCTGATCACTAATTCATTGGTTTCTAGTTTGTTGGTCTCTAGCTTGTTAGTCTTTAATTCGTTGGTCTCTAATTCGCTGGTCTCTATCTTGTTGGTCTCTAATTCATTGGTTTCTATTTTGTTGGTTTCTAATTTGTTGGTCTCTATTTTGTTAGACTCTAATTCGTTAGTTTCTAGCTTGTTGGTCTTTAATTCATTGGTTTCTAATTTGCTGGTCACTATCTTGTTGGTCTCTAATTTGTTGGTCTCTAATTTGCTGGTCTCTATCTTGTTAGACTCTAATTCGTTGGTCTCTTATTCGCTAGTCTCTATCTTGTTAGACTCTAATTCATTGGACTCTAATTCGTTATACTCTAATTTATTTGTTGGTCACTAATTTGTTGGTTTCTAATAAATGGTTTCTATTTTGTTGGTCTCTAATTCGTTGGTTTCTAGCTTGTTGGTCTCTAATTCATTGGTTTCTAATTCATTAGTTTCTAGCTTGTTGGTCTCTAATTCATTGGTCTCTAATTCATTGGTTTCTAATTCATTAGTTTCTAGCTTGTTGGTCTCTAATTCATTAGTCTCTAATTCATTAGTTTTAATTTGTTGGTCTCTAATTCATTGGACTCAAATTCGTTAGACTCTAATTCGCTGGTCTTTATCTTGTTAGACTCTAATTCGCTAGTCTCTATCTTGTTGGACTCTAATTCATTAGACTCTAATTCGTTGGACTCTAATTCATTGTTTCTGGTTTGTTGATTTCTAATTCATTGGTCTCTAATTTGCTAGTCTTTAATTCAATAGATATATTTTTTGTATTTGAATTTGAGTATATGCAGAATTGGGATATGTTACAATTTTTGATTACAGTTCTTTAAAGTATTATAATTATATTGCATAGCGATTTTATTATACTGTATTTATTGTAATAAATATATAAATAAAAAATATTTTTTTGTAATAAATAAAATATATATTTGCTATATGATTACTTTAGATAAAACATATTTTTATTATATAATTATTATAGATTAACATTAAATTAATTATATATTTATTTTACATTTATTTCAAAATAATGCTTTTATAATAAAATTTTAATGTTGTTATAATAGTTTTTTAATAATAAATAAATAAATTTATAAATATAATATTTATATTATTATAGTATAGTAATAATATAAAACTATACTTTTATAATGCGTTGTATAATGCCATTTAACAATGCTAATGATTATGCATAAATAATATAATAACAACATAATAATTATATTGTTGAATTTTTCTAGATTTCAGTAAAGGAATTTCCTAAAATAAAATTTAATTATATAATGTTAATGCTAATTTTTTTAACAGCTTTTGTTTGATATATTTAAACGTATCAAGAGAATGTCAACTTGAATATTTAGTATAACTATAAATTTTCAGGTTAGCACCCTTTTAATACGCCCCTGCATACTTTTATTATGTTTTTAAGTTATTAAATGATGCAGGACAATTTTTAAAATGAAAATTTAAACCAATTTGACAGATTGAATATTTTGCTATCAATGGTTAAAATAATCAATCGAATTTGTTAAATTATTTTCGTATCGCTTCAACGCTTTTACTGGTAATTTTCCTGCTAATTTCATAATTAATCGGTGATTAAACTACCAAATTATACAGAATTATATTCTATATTGTAGCAGATTTGAAGTTAAATTGACCATTCAAAGAATAATAAATAAAATTTATACAAACTAGTTTAACTCTACAAATGCCCATAACATATTCATTTCCTTGTGTAATAGTCCTAATATAAGAATTAATTACAGAAACTTCTCTTTCAATTTTAGAGCATGATGGTACAGAACACTATCACAAGTTACCACTATCTACTTGCGAACTCCACTTCTAATTTCTGTGATTGCTTCTATATATAAAAGAATTTTTTCAATATTAGCAATTGAATTAGGATTAATATTAAGTGGATCAGAAATATAAATATCAGGAACATTGACTCCTTGATCAGTTACTCGTCGTTGAGTAATACTGGTCCTAGAAATATCAGTAGAACTTGAACTTGATTCACCATCAAAACTATACAGCTTAAAAGTGAAGTGTTGACCCTGCTAATTTTCTCTTCGAATATTTTTTTTTCTGAATTTTAGCTAACATCAATAATCGCGTTTTACACTTAGGGCATATTTTTTTTTATTTTCAATTTTTCATTGATGACAACTAGGACACACCTTTATATTGGTGATTTTAATCTCTGTAGAAGTTACAAGAGTATCGATAATGTTAATACGGAATGATTTTTCTTGAAACAATAAATTTAAAATATTATTAAAGTAATTATTTAATTTTTCGTTGATGATTTCTTGCATTTGAGAACTAATGTCGAAGAGTTTTTCATATTGTAGAATATCAAGAGAATTATATGCCTAAGGTGAATTAGTATACTGAATTCATTTTGTGATGCTATATTAAAAACAACAAAACTTGTAACAATATAGTAAATCACAGTATTAAACCCTTGTTCAAGACAATTTTTTTGTTTTCATTGCTTGTTATCGAATGCAAGAAACAAAAGACCTTCAGGTAACAGTTCTTCATACTTTGATAACTCTTCTAACTAATTTTAAAACTGATGGTAACTTCCTGAACTTGTAATATGATTATCAATATTGATAATCATCTTTGATCATACAATTAAATACTTAATAGCTAAAAGAGCAAGCTGAATTTTGAATATATAATTCTTATGTCTCGCACCATATATTGAATTAACTATGATGGCAGTTTTAAAAAGCTTTTTCTAACTTAAAATATCAGCACCTTGAGTATTTTTAACAAGAGTTTCTATAAATTTGACAATAACCTGATTATGTTTATTAAGCCATTTATGAGGATTATATAATACAAGATTTTCTATAAAAAACCTCTTCTATCTTGAATTAATGCTGCAACATCATCAAAGAATAATATAAGCTCTGTCTTTACTATTTCAACAATTGCATTGATACATTTTTGTTAATTAATAAATCTTGAATTTTATTGTTTAATAAGAGCTTTATTGTACTTGTATTGTTCAGAATATAAATCTTGAATTTCAATAAAATTGGTATGAGTTTTTTGTAATTGGCTTCTTAGCTCCTCTTTTAACCATCTATATACTGTTGCATTTGTGCAATTTGGTCATTAAGAGTCATTATTTCTTGCAATTTTTGCTAATTTTCTATTTGTACAGATTCTAAAAGTCTTTTAATTCGATTAAGTTTAACTGTCGGGTCAGCATAGCTAGCGTGAGTATCTAAATTATTCTCATCAAGTCAAAACCTTTTGTTTTCTGAACAAAGCCTACAATATGCTGATAAAACTAATTAGTATTAATTACTTGATTGTAATGTATTTGACAAATTAAATAAGTTGCTAAAAAAGAATAGTGTTCAGAAGTTCTGAAATATAATTATGCTATTTGAAAGTTCTTAGCTACATTTGTGCTATTAGTATGTCACCATGTCTGCAATTCACTAATTTCGCAAGGTTTTAAATAAATTGATTTATAACGATCAACAAGATCTGCAAAAATAAACTCGAGATCTTCTGCTTTAGGTCTTTGGTAAGTAAAATACTATAAAAAAAAAGTAAACATTTTAGTTAAATTATGTTTTTTTGTATAATTAGCTATATACGAATACATAATTTGAGGTCTTATTTACTTTTGCTAAAAGAATAAAACTTGACTGAATAACTTTGATTATTAAAACTAGAGGTCGAATATTATATATTCGAAGACTTTTTAGTATTAAGCAAATACAGTCGAACCTCCATAATTGCACCCTCTATAATTGCACCTATATATAAATTCTCCCTAAATGGACCCCTTGACATAGTTCCAAATATATAAAAACATAGTAAAAATATTTTCTATAAATACACATCCTCTCTAAATGAACATTTTTAAAAATTTGTTCTATGGTCCCAAGAGGGTGCAATTATAGAGGTTCGACTATATTATAAAAATTTACGTTGAAAAAGTAAAAGTGTGCTAATCAAATTGTATGAATTTCACATAGATCATTCTAGAACCTGATTTCAAATTTGGAAGATTCCCTAACTGTAATAACATCCTCTACAACTTTTATTAGAAGCACAAGTAAGATTAGCATAGTAAATTAATTAGATCTATTTAAAGTTGTTTATAATCCTGTCTTCAATTCTATTGGACAATTTATTTTACTATGCTAATCTTATTTGTGTTTCTAATAAAAGTTGTAGAGGATGTTATTACGATTTTGACAGTAACAAATCATCAACATCAGCCTAGTAAATCATGAAAAAAGATTTGCGATTCTTTAAAGTTTCTTGAAAAATTTTATAAGAAACTTTAAAGAATCACAAATCTTTTTTTGTATATATCACACGATTCACTAGGCTAATTTTGATGATTTTACTACTGTTAGAATTGTAATTACATTCTCTACAACTTTTATTAAAAAACAAGTATGATTTGTATAATAAAATAATTAGATCTAATTGAAAAACTATTTAAAGTTGTTTATAATCCTATATGCAATTCTACTGGGCGATTTATTTTATTATACTACAACTCTAACAGTAGCAAAAACATCAAAATTGGTCTAGTGAATCATAAGATATATGCAATAAAAGATTCGCAATTTTTTAAAGTTTTTTGAAAAATTTTATAAGAAACTTTAAAGAATTGTGAATCTTTTTTTGCATATATTTCATAATTCACTAGGCCGATTTTGATGAATTATAATAACATCCTCTAAAATTTTATTAGAAACACAAATAAGATTAGCATAATAATATAATTAGATCTGATTAAAAAACTATTTAAAGTTATTTATAATCCTATATGCAATTCTATTAGCTGATTTTTTTACTATGCTAATTCTACTTGTGCTTCTAATCAAGTTGTAGAAAATATTGTTATTACTGCTTTCAACTCAGTGCACTAGTGGGTGTTTTGCAGAAGGGAGTAATAACTGATAGTTTAGAGTATAGCAGAGAGTCAATATTTTTTTATTTTTTTATTTTTTTTTTTTACCTTCGCAATATCGCGAGAAGGCGGATTTTATTAGGTATTTAGATAATACATTCTTGGTTACCC